TAAGCCATTCACATTCCCTATTTTGGTTAATAATTCCCAAATTTTGCTGAGTTGCCTTTCTTTGAAGTGGGCACGAAGGTGGAGCTCCTCTGGGCGGTGGGCTGAGGACCTGTCTCCTAAGCTTCCTGGCACGGGGACCGGAGCCTGCACTGCTCCCCCAGCTCCATCACCTGTTGGCCCCATCAGCTCCGGGGCTTGCATCTGGCTAAAGCCTTCAGCGCGGCCTGGACTTCTCCTTCGGTACCTTTGGCTCTTGCTCACGTGCCACCTCTTGAAATGGTGGGCTGCTGACCGGTTCTTCTTGGCACAGGACTCTCTGTCCTCCTTCCGTCCTCGTTTGATACTTCCTGTATCAATATCTTGCCCCATAGAATCTTTCAGTGGTGTGACTCGAGGCTCGGCAGTAGCTAATGACAAGGGTAGCTAGCAACTGGGCTCTCCGGTGTCTCAGTATCTTGGCAACTGGCTCTTGCTACCCTGGGGAGGGGCTCCCACCACCATGGCCTCCATCAGCTCTGCCTCACCGCCTCACCGCTGCTCGGTGCGCGGGAGTGAATGTGTGCAGGAAGGGTTAGTGCCTCCTGGGTGAGCTCCGCATCTCTGGGAGGGCAAGGTGGCAGAGGCCATGTGGATCAGAGGGAGCAGGGCCCCATGCCACAGACGCTCGGCGCCTCTGCCCGGTGTGCCCCCCACCCCCACCCCAGCGGTGCTCTTTGGCTCCACCAGGCAGGACATCATGGTGGGTGTGGCTAAAAGGGGTGGCTCCTGGCCAACTGGAAAAGACCTGCGTGCTGGAAAGGGCCAGGGCAGGCTGGTGGCCTCAAACGGGCAACTGTCCACTGGCCTGAAGCCTACATCCTGCTGGTTATGCTCAACCGCCCCAGGGCTGCCTCCTCCTGCCCTGGGAGCCAGCCTCCTCCTTCCACCAGCCCCTCCTCACCCTCTGCTCACCAGCCAAACTCTGGGCCACTATGGGACATGGGCTGTTCCCCAAGACACAGGGAGGTGGGCTGTGGGGTGTGGGGCCGTGGATCTGGACACAGGCCCCTGACCCACCAGGAGCAGGGTAGCCTGGCATATCTCCCTCCAGCTCAGACATCAGAAACCACCCCCAGGACATGTGTCAGCCTGACCGGACCATGAGTTTCAGCCGTTCCCGCAGTAAGGTCAAAACGTCATCATCCCCCTCCCTTCCCAGCCTGCCAGTTTCTTTGATCTTGTAAGGGATGAAGGAGGAGAGGGAAGGGAGCAGACAGAGCCCCACAGCACCGCGCGGAAAGGAGACAAGGGCCCTCCCCTGAGCTCCAGAGAGAGAGCCCAGCCCAGAGCAGGCCCCCCGGCCGTCAGAGACCCCACCTCTGTCTGGGAAAGCCGCCCACGTGTGGCGTTTGTGTCACAGCAGCCCTGAGTAGCTGACAACTGAGTCTCACATGCATGGGCACCCATGGTGCACGCATGTTGGTGTACACACAGTTGTGTACACGTACGCACAGCCCGATGCTGTGCTACTCACATAAGCGTGTATGTATTCCTGCATGGACACACATGCGCATGCATACATACAGGCTGATGCTACATCCCACATGTGCATGCACACACACATAATGCACACATGTACACACATGCCCAGGCCAATGCTGCATTTCACACATGCACATGTGTGTGGTGCTCACACATGTGCACACAGACCACACATGCCTTTACAGGTTCACTCCACCTCTGTGCCAGGCTCCATCATTCCTGTACCCACCACCGGTGACCGCCCCCTGCCCCAGCCACCATGGCCACCTGGCTGTCAACTGCACCCCTACATCCTCACCACGTGGTCACTGTCACCACTGGGCCACCCTTCCCCCTGCCATGCTGTGGGCCCTGTGGTCACCCTGTGGGTGTCTGTGGCACTGCACAAGTGCCTCTGGGAGGTGAACACTTCAGGTCCAAGCCTCAGGGTGCGGCCTGGCTTCTCCCCACCCTGAGGCCTTGGGCTGGCAACTGGACCCTGTGCTCAGAGAGGACCCCGAGGAAGATGAATCGGGAGCAGGCTTCCCAGTGGGTGACTCTGACCCTTTCTTCTGCCTCAGGCAAGAGAGTGGCTCAGCCTTGTGGCCCCACCCGGATGCCTCGCTCTGAGAGCCAGTGGGAAGGCAGCTCCCGGGCTTCAGGCCAGTGGACAGTTGTCTGTTTGGACCCTCTCCGTGCCGCCCCCAACCTGGTCACCTCCCAACCTGACCTCTGCCCTGTGCTGCCTCCTCATGTGACCCCAGGTGCCCAGGGCCGGGGTAAGCAGGGCAGGCAGGCTGGAACCCGCGGGGTGAGTCAGTTGGCACCTTACCCTGGGAAACAGGTGGGCAGGGCACCAGGGCAGTTCATAGCCACTGGTTCCATGAGTCTGTACCTCCAGGCCAGATCCCCAGGCTGCATGTCCACCCCACCCTCTCCAGAGAGCATAGCAGCTTGTGCAGCCTTCCAACCAGGGCCTCAGTTTCCCAACGGTCTGATGAGCAGGACGCATACAGGCCCCTAGGGCCAGCACCCCTCAGATGGCTGCCTGCCCATCATCAGACGGCTGGGTCCCAGGCAGCCTCTGCTTTCCCATCCATAAAATGGGCATATCCCAGCATGCCCGGGACGCCCAGCCAATAATGACAGGGTGGGGCTTTGATGTCCCACATGAGAGGGGGCCCCCCCCAGAAGAGCATCCCTGGACTGTGGGAAGGGGCCCTGGCCACAGGGGACACCACCTTCCTCCCTGGGGGTGGGAATGGGTGGGGAACTTGCCCCATGTGAGGCTCAGAGCCAGTGCCTGGGGGGCAGGGAGCAGGGTGCCTCTGCAGAGGGAAGGGGGCCCTGAGGGCTACCTTAAGCACACCCCATTCCCGTGAGGCACAGGGGAGGCAGTGCAGTGCATGCTGGGAGGGAGAGCTCAGCCCCCAGAACACCCACCCCACTCCTGACCCTGAGACTTGGTCACCTGGCCCCCAGCCCCAACCCTCCCTGCCCTGAGGACAGGACACCTGGCTCCAGGTTAGGTCCGCAACTGCAGAGCAGACCAGCCCTGGGACATAGCAGCTGGGTCTCTCCACCCCTTCCTTCCCACTGCTTGGGTCCCCCCTCCCCCATGCCCATGTCCTGGGACCCAGATGCAGGCTCAGGTGTCCTCTGACTGGTTGCAGTGACGTGCCTGTCCCAGGAGCCACCTCACCACAGGGAGACTGGGGCAGGTGAGGGGCTGTGGGCGGGGCCAGTGGACACCTGAGGTCTGACATGCAGGCCAGGGGCCACTGGTCTATTCCACTGTGCCAGTGGCGTCGGGGCCCAGAGGGGGTGTTTCAGATTGGGGCGTGCCGATGTGGGGCTTTTCCCCACCTCTGGGAGGCCCACCCGAGCTGTGACTGCGGTGCTTTAGCCAGGGCGTATTGCAGGGTTCTGGGGGAAGGATCTGCAGCCAGAGACTGGGGGTGGCCAGGTTCTAGGGTGGGGCACATGTGAGAGGCAAACCTAAAGGGCTGCCCAGGCCCAGGCCCCAGGGTCTGGGCGTGACAGGAGGCCTGAGGCTGCAGGAGGCATGATGGGCAACCTGCAGCAGGCAGGGAAGAAGGCGTGGTGGAGGGGGTGCACCGAAGCGCCCGACAGCCAAGACACAAGGGCCCACGGCGGAAGCTAGGGACATGTGGAACCAGAGGTGAGATACCGGCTGGTGTTGCTACAGTAAGGTGCGGGCTGCTAGCCGGTGGCCCTGGGGCTCCAGGGCCAACACCAGTGGGCGCCCCCAGAATCTGTGCTCTGAGGAAGGAAACAGAGCACTCAGGAAAAGGGTGCTGTTACCCTAGCCTTGAACCCCCTGCTGACACAGCCCAATAAAGGGAACCGGGAGCCCCCAAACTCTGCTTCTCCCAGCCTCTTCAGGCCGAGGCCCCCAGAGCTGGGCAGGGTCAAGAAGGGCTTGGGAAGGGGACAGTGGGGACATGCAGGTTCACTCACCGCCAGGCTCCTCTCTGGCCACCCTCTAGGGCCAGCCTCCCACCTGGGTGATGGTGCCTGCTGACAGGCGGAGGTGTGTACCCCTGGGGCCCATGGCATATCCCCTAACTCCTCCCCGCCCTTCCTCCCAGGTGTCAGTGACGGCAGAGGCCAAAAGAATCCATGTATCTTTTATTCACAGATAAAAACGGCGGCGTGTTATCTACACCTTTGTACAAGGCCTGGATGACCCCGGAGAGGCACAGCACCCACGGGAGGGAGGTCGCCTCGGGGGTCATGAATACACATACCCCTAAGACCCCCACCCAGCCCAGTGTGCCCACAGCCAAAGGGGTCGGCACCGGGACGGCTTCCATAAAAAAATCATAAAAACACACGCCAGACTTTAAAACCCGTTGCAAACGCCACATCCAAAGGCAAATGATACAAAAATACAACCTAACAGAAACCTTACAAAATCTTGTGCCCCCATTTTTTGTTTTGTTTTTTGTTTTTGCAAGAGTTGTGGTTTTTTGCTGTTTGGGTAAGAATTCCTGCCGTGGAGGGGGGCACTGTGGCCCCCCCGCAAAGCCCTTCCCAGTCCTAGGCCGGAAGGGACGGGTGCCAGGAGGGGCAGGCCACTGGCCCCATGCAGACCCAAGCCCGGTCATGTTGGTGAAGGGCCTGCCGAGGGAAAGGGTCATCTGAACCCTGAAGAAGACCCCTGGGGGCTCAAGCCCTCTCTGCTACACATAGCCTGGCAATGAGGAAGGCTTGGCGGGCCTGCAGACCCCAGTGCCGGTACCACTGCCCAGTTCCTGCAGGGCCAGGGCCAGGGCCCCCATGCAGCCAGCCTACTGGTGCCCCGGTTCTTAGCACCAAAGCAAAAAGGAGAACCAAGCTCCCAGGTACAAGGCACTTGTGTTGTGTTCAGTGGCGGCAGCCTCCTGGCTCACTTTCTTTCTCTCTCTCTCTCTCTCTCTCTCTCTCTCCCTTCCTCCTCACAGCTCTGCCAGCTCCCACTCCCCCACACTCCACATCTCTCCTAGCCCCTGGCCCTGCATCCTCATCCCTCCAACCCTGCCACATCCTTGGCCCTCTCCACTCTCATTCGCGCACCCCTGCACACCCCCTCCTGCTGGCAGCCCCGGCCTCAGACGTCCACCTCCTGCGAGCCTGAGGTGGCAGCGGGGGCGGTGACGCTGACGTCAAAGCAGGTGACCATCATGACGTGGGCCTTGCACAGGTTGACACACTGCTCCAGGGCAGCCGTGGCATGCTCCAGGGCCATCAGGTACTCAGCCGACTCGGGTTCCAGCTCCGGGGCCACCTCAACTGTTGGGGGATAGACACAGATCAGGCCCAGCTCCGGCAGCCAGCCTGCCTGGTTTGCACTCTCTGTCACGTGGGACAGGGTGCTCTCCCATGCTCATGACCGGCGGGACTCAGAGGGGGAGCACCACTGGGGCTCGGCAGGGGGGGTGGGGGACAGGTGACACTCACACTGCTCCAGCCAGCGGCCCCGCTCCACCATCAGCCTGCCCTGTGTCTCCGCCAGCTCCTGGCACAACCATTCACGCCGTGCCCGCACCTCCCGCAGCCTCTGCAGCCTGCGTTCCGATAGCCGCAGCCGGGTGCCCATGCTGGCCGGGCCCTAGGGACATGACATCAGGGCTCACTGCTGTGACCAGAGTCCCAGCCCTGGCCCCAGCACCCCGCTGGGTTACAGTGGGGCCAAGGCTCCCACTGGGGACGCCCCCACCTTGTGAAGGGGGGCAGAGAACTGGGCTTTTGTACCTTCTCCAGATCCAGAGAGGCCTGCAGACAAGAAGAGCAGGGTCAGTAGGGTTGCCAGGCCCCCAGCCCCCCTTCCCACTGCCCGCCCCAGTGCACACAGCCCCTCACCTCAGAGGGGTCCTCTCGAGAGGCTGCCCGGTGCCGCTGCAATCGCTGAACGTCGTCGATCTCATACACCTTGATCTCAAAAGGTTCTTTCCGAGGGCCAGCCAGGGGCGGCGGCAGGTCCACCCACTGCCCCGAGACACTGGGCTTCCGGCCCAGAGCAGCAGCATCGGGCAGTGGCGCGGGAATCAGTCGCCGGCGCTGTTGACCTGGGGCAGACAAAGCAGGGAGGGGGCAGGTGACCTCAGGGGGCCCAGGTTCATGCCCCTCCATCCACTTGGACCCCTCAGCTCTACCCACCAGCCGCACTCCTGTGGGGCCACCCCACACCCACCCTGCTGCCCTGGTCCTGAGTTAACTGTTACCTACCCCACCCCCACGTTCCCTTCTGTCCCGTCCTGGACCCAATGGCCCCAGCCCAGTTTCTGCCTTAACCCTGCTTTCCCTCCAGCCCATGGACCCAGAACTGAGGTTCTGGATACAGGCAGGAGTCGTGCTGTCTGAGGGCCAGCCAGCCAGGGCACAGTGGGGCTCATCTCATACCAACCATTTCTGTGTCTCTGGGTAATCCCATATGGGCTGCTCCCACGGGGAGGGGCCAGCCTTGAGCAGCTGGACGCTGAGTGCCCTGAAAGCTGCTCAGCCGGTGGCCTGGACCCTCCACAGACAACTGTGTGCACACATCTCCCACGGAAGCACTGCACCTGTCTTACAGGCTGATACACTACAGAGTGCGGTGGTAGCTGAGGTGCAGTTCAAACCCAACAGCCGATCCTTGGGAGAAAGGGGAGGCTATCTGCTCTCCTAAAGATTTACAGCCTCAAAAACTCACATGGGCGGTTCTAGCCTGTTGATAAGCTCCCCAAGCATGGAAACCAACCCGATGGCCATGAGTCTGGTTCTCTGGGGGGATGGCACAGCCCCCAGGGAAGGCCCTGCATGCTCCCATCCCTAGGTCCTGTGAGCCTAAGGAGGGTGGTGGGCTGCGCTCAGAGAGCAGGCTCACCTGTAGCCCTCCTCCTGGGGGACCTGAGGCTGCGGGCGCGGGCGCCCGGGGAGGCAGCCCCGCTCTCGCTCATGGAGTCGGGGGCCGAGGAAGCGCTGCCCGTGGCCTCACTGTCTCGGATCATGCTCTCATAGCCGCTGCTGCCCCCGCTGTGATAGAAGAGGGCCGTGCGTCCCATGGCGGGGGGCAGGTCCCCGCTCAGCACACTGCTGTTGTCGCTGCCCTGCCCGCTGCTGTAGCGCTGCGGCCGCCGGGGCGCGGTCACCTTGCTGTAGGGTGAGGGCAGGGCTGGGGCGCCAGGCAAACCCCCATGCACGCCGCTGTCCTGGCTGCCCTCTGAGTCGGTCAGGCCCCAGGAGGGGCCGCTGGGAAGGGGTGCCCCGCCGCCGCCTGCCAGCTCCTGGACCCAGCTGTGGGCAGCCCGCAGTGCCTGCTTGGTGCCCATGACAGTGCCCCGGCTGGCCTTGGCTCCGGCACTGGGTGCCCCCCGGGAGGCTGCCCGGGGGCCCACCACAGAGCCACCCGGTGGCCTGCTCGTCCCTGTGGGGGCCAGCGACCTCACGGAGGCACTGAGCATTCTCGACCCACTGGCCGCCAGGCTGCGACCACTGGCCGCCAGGTTGCGACCCTTGCCTCCTGCAACTGGGGGCTTAGAAGTTCCGACACCCTTGGCTGGGCTGCCCCTGCAGGGGGGAACGGGGCCTGGCATGGGACTCCCAGACATTGCCCCCAGCCTGGGCATGGCCCTGCCCGGCCGCCCCACAGGCTCCCTGGCCCTGCTGCCGCCTTGAACCGGGCCCTCGGGCCTCTCCAGCCATGCAGGCCCGGGCAACCGGTGTGTGGTTTCAACCTTGCCAGGCCGCACCTTCAGGCTGGCTGTGGCTCGGGGGGCGGGGTGGTCGCCCCTGCCACCAGGCCTGACCTCCTCTTCCCCTCGGAGGGCAGGGGCCACGGCAGTCCTGGAGATGCCCACCGCTGGGCCAGGGGCCTGGGCTGGGCTGTTCTTTGGCTCCAGGCTGGACTTGCGCACTGGTGGGGCTGGGGGCCCCATCCCGCCAGGCCTCGGGAGGGGCGTGCCCTTGGGGGGAGTGGTCCTCTTGCTAGGGGCAGCTTTAAGGCTGCCCAAAGCGGCTGTGGCCTCAGCGGGCCTGTCACCACAGGACGGGGAGGGTGTGGTCACACCCAGCGTGGTGGCCCCCCGCCGCAGTGGCGGGATGCGTGCCTCAGGTTTCCGGACCGCTCTGGCCGCTACCTCACATCCATCTACCACCCTCTGCACACGAGGCAGAGCCTGCGCTTGGGGCAGCCATGGGGAGGGCAGGGTTGGGGCAGAGGCCACAGGAACAGCATCGGTCTTGTAGGTCCGGAGCAGCCAAGGGTCCTCAGACAGGCCCTCAGACCCGGGGGCGCCCTGGCCACCCATGGCTGTGGTCCTGGTCTTCCGTGGAAGGCTGGAATGGATGGTGTGTGCCGGGGGTGGCCGCCCTGGGGACCCAGTCCAGGACTCTCTTCCAGCCCCAGAGGGGGTCTCAGAAACCGTCTCAACCCCTGGGGAGGCCTGGGCTGGGCTGTCTGATGTGTCCTCTGAGCAGCCTTCCAGAATGTGGGGGGCCTGGGGGTCTGGCCCTGCCAGCAAGTCCGGGCTGGACCTGAAGGGTGGCTGCGGTGAGAGGCCTGGGCTGTCTGAGGTACAGACGCTGGCCTCGCTGAGCCGGGAGCTGTCGGAGCCATGGCGGCCCCCGCAGGTCCAGGCCGGGGCCTCCTGGGGCCAGCTGGGGGCAGCGGCTCCTTGTGCTGAGGTGTATGCATCGAACTCATCGTTGATGCTGCTGATGATGCTAACAGGCCGGGAGCCCGAGGCCAGGGCCTGCAGGGAACAGTCGCTGCCCAAACTGACCAGGCTGGCAGGCCGGGCGCCCAGTGGCAGCTCCTCCACCACTGTGAACACCAGCTCGTCCTCGCCGTTGAGCTCCACCGGCTGCTGCACCGTCACTGTGGCGGTCAGCAGGCCGCGGTCCAGGCAGCGGCTTCGAGCCGACAGAGGGGGGCAGCCCGCAGGAGGGGTCCTCACAGCGCCCCCCCCTCCGGGGTCCCCTCCCCCAGGCTCCTCTGGCCACGGGGTTAGAGCGGGCTCTGGGCTGGGCAACTCAGGCCTGAGGCCACTGTCCTTTCTCTGGTCTCCCTGGGGGCCGGCAGCCTTCTTGGGGGACGCTGTTTCAGGGGGCGGGGCCTTCCTGGGGGACGGGGTCTCCAAAGGCGGGGCCTTCCTGGGGGACGGGGTCTCCAAAGGCGGGGCCTTCCTGGGGGACGGGGTCTCCAAAGGCGGGGCCTTCCTGGGGGACGGGGTCTCCAAAGGCGGGGCCTTCCTGGGGGACGGGGTCTCCAAAGGCGGGGCCTTCCTGGGGGACGGGGTCTCCAAAGGCGGGGCCTTCCTGGCAGTGCGAGCAGGGCTGGCAGGGGGCGGCGGGGGCCCCTCACTGCCGTCAATGAACTCCAGCCGCTCCTGCAGCTCCGCGAAGGTGCTACAGCGGAAGTGGTCTGAGTCGGCGTCCCAGGGCCCCTCTGAAGGTCGGCGGCGGCCCAGCGAAGGGATGATGGGCACACAGTCCGGGGGTCCTTCGTTGTCCGTGAGCTCCCGGTCGGACAGCGCTGCCCCGCCGGGCCCCACGTAGATGACGGTGTCACATGACTGCTCGCTGCTGGACGAGTAGTCGGGCTCTCCGGGTGCCCGGTGCTCGGGGTCCGGGGCCGCAGTGCGCGGGAGGCAGGGGCGCAGGGCAGGAGGGCGGCGGCAGCGGCCCTCCTCGCAGGAGCTCTCACCGCCTGATGAGCTGGACGCGTACTGCGGGGGGTAGTGGGGGCGGTCAGTGACCTATGTTCCCTCCACGGTGTTCTCCCACCCTCCAGCTCCTGTCAGGGCCGGCTCCTGTCCCCTTGTGCCCACAGCTAGCAGGGACACTGGTAGTCATCTGCACATGACGGCCGCCACCATGCAAGAAGGCCGCATCGCGGTGGACAGGGATCAGCGCCCTGGGGAGGACACGAGCCCACTGCCGACGGCCACTCGCGGCCTAAGAGGGGCAGGTGAGGCGTGAATACATAGATTACCCTCGCAGCCTGTGCCCGCGGTGCCTTACACCGTCAGGACCCTGCGACACACTGACCTTGGTCTTCTTCCTGCGCAGGCGCAGAATGCGCGCAGCCAGCTGCAGGGTGCTGAGCGTCTCGGCATGGTGGGATGGAGAGTCAGACACGTGCGCGATCATGGTGGCCCGGCAGGTGGTGGTCAAGGACTCTCGGAGCAGCATGGTCAGCCTGTGGTCCCTGGGGGTGGCAGGCAGGGCGGGGGTCCCAGCTAGAGCCAGTCCTGCAGACTCTGGTCTGCACCATCACTGCCTCCCCTTCCCTGAGCCCTGACCCCGCCACACTGGGCTAGCAGGGACCCAGCTCCCCAGCCATCCCTGGGGCCCACCCCTCACCTGTAGGGCACGTGCTTGGCTCCATTGACCAGGGCCAAGATGACACTGCCCAGGGCGGGCAGGGACAGACACAGGGGGCCCCCAGTGGCATCCCCACCCTGGCTGGAAGTCACTGCCTCACAGCTGCCCAGGTCGATGAGGTGCAGGCGGCTCCGGCCCCCAGACACTGTGACAGAAGGACCCACAGTGAGAGGGGCCACCAGCGTGGACAGCAGCCAGGCCCCCCAGGCAAGAACTTCTCGCAGGAAGGGGGTGGGGAATGTGGGTCTTCTCTCAAGTCATCGCCACCTGTGCACACCCATCCCATTCATGCACATACACCACTGTGTGCCAACTCACACCACCCTGAACACTCACCCATTTCATGCACACCCCACGCTGCACACACACACTACCCTGCATACACACACTGCCTGTGCACTCACCCCATTTCATGCACACACCCCACGCAGCACACACGCACTACCCTGCATACACACACTACCTGTGCACTCACCCCATTTCATGCACACACACCACCTGTGTGCCCACTCACACCACCCCGTAACTCACACCACCTATGCACACCCACCCCATTTCATGCACACATACTGCTCATGTGTACACATAATTATACCACCCTGCACATACACCTCCCTTTAGGCACACACACCATTTGTGTGTGCACACACACTGTACTGCACACAGATACTGCCTCACACACACACACCATCCTACAGCCATACCAACTGCACATCCACACACACCACCCATGCATACACAGATACAGACCACCCACACATAGGGCACACTTACTCCCACCGTGGCCGAATTTCTGCATGCAGTACTGGTAGACGTGCAGTGTGAACAGCAGGTGGGAGCTACCCCGCGCCTCCTCGCCACAGGCCAGGCGACTGAAACTGCGTGCAGCCAGGGCTGCGTCCAGGTAGAAGGCTGCCCTTTCTGCGTTGGGCGCCCGCAGCTCACTCTGGTTCTGGAGCTGCAGTGGGTAGCGAGCGGGTCAGCCTTGTGGGTGGGCGCCCCACCCACGGTCATGTCCCACATGCCCCAGAATAGGCATACCTGCGCCCCGCATACAGGGTCCTCCCGCAGGTACACGCCAGGGGACTGTGTGTCCTGGAGACTGCCCGACGCCAGGTCGGCCAGCAGGTCGCGCAGGCTCTGGTCGCGGCCGCACACCTCCACGGCTGAGACGCGCACCGAGAAGCGCGTACCCGTGCGCTCCTTGCGTTCGTGGATCAGCTTGAAGAGCCAGGAGATGGCACAGGGCGCGACGCCCAGGCTCTGTGGCGAGCTGTCCCTCCCGATCATGGTATACGACTGACCTGGGGGTCATGAGTGTCAGCATCCAGCAAGGAGCCTGCCTAAGCTTTTCCACGCGCCTTCTCCCCAAGCCCCAGCCACCCCGATGGGGCCAGGCCCTCCCTCCCCTCCAGAGACCG